ACCCTAGACTTGGCACTTGAAATTGCATGGGATTCCATTAAATCCAAGGAGGAAGCTGTGTTGTGAGCGATGTTGTAGCACTTTTGGGCTGCGTTGATCATGACTTCTGCAGCTGCAGTGTGCATGGATCTGTAGGCTTTGTGGTTGTCTGTGCCCTAATCCTAGGCACAACAGTAGGACCCTAACAGGAATAGCCTTAACACTAACCCAAATAACCATAACCCCACCCCTAACCAAAATAACCCTAACCCTAACACAAACCCTAATCCTAACCCTAACCCTAGCCTAAATAACCCTAACCCTAACCAAAATAACACTAACCCTAATGCAAATAAACCCAACCCTAACACAACTAACCAAAACCATTACAGGAATAGCCTTGACGATAACCCAAATAACCATAACCCCACCCCTAACCGAAATAACCCTAACCCTAGCCCAAATAACCCTAACCCTAACTCAAATAAACCGAACCCTAACCATAACGCAACTAACCATAAACCTAAAAGAAGTAGCCGTAGCACTAACCCAAATAACCATAACCCTAACCGAACTAAGTCTAACCCTAACATAAACCCTAAACCTAAACCTAACCATAACCCTAACCCTAGCCCAAATACCCCTACCCCTAACATAAACCCTAACCCTAAACCTAACCATAACCCTAACCCTAACCCTAGCCCAAATACCCGACCCCTAACAAAAACACTAACCCTAAACCTAACCACAACGCTAACCCTAACCATAGCTCAAATAACCCTACCCCTAACCCAAGTAACCCTAACCCAAATCCAAATAACCCTACCACAAATAAACCAAATCTTAACCATAACGCAACTAACCATCACCCTAACAGGAATAGCACTAACACTAACCCAAATAACCATAACCCCAAGCCTAAATGAACTAACCCTAACCCTAGGCCAAATAACCCTAACCCGAACTCTAACACAAATAACCCTAACCCTAACGCGAATAAAAACAACCCTAACCATAACGCAACTAACCATAGCCCCAACATGAATAGCCCTAACACTAACCCAATTAACCATAACCCAAAGCCTAACCAAACTAACTCGTACCCTAACCCTAAACCTAACCCTAAACCTAAACCTAACCCTAGCCCAAATAACCCTAACCATAACCCAAATAACCCTAACCCTAACGCAAATAAACCCAACTCTAACCATAACACAACTAACGATAACACTAACAGAAATAGCACTAACACTAACCCAAATAAACATAACCCCAACCATGACCAAACTAACTCTAACCCTAACCCTAACCCTAGCCCAAATAACACTAACCCTAACGAAAATATCCCTAACTCTAACGCAAATAAACCCAACCCTAACCATAACACAACAAAACATAACCCTAACTGGAATTGCACTAACACTAACACAAATAACCATAATCCCACCCCTAACCCAACTAACCCTAACCCTAACCCTAGCCCAAATAACCCTAAACCTAACCCAAATAACCCTAACCCTAACGCAAATAATCCCAACCCTTACCATAAAGCAACTATCCATAACCCTAACAGAAATAGCACTAACACTAACACAAATAAACATAACCCCAACCATAACCGGACTAACTCTAACCCTAACACTAACCCTAACCCTAACTCTAAGCCTAACCCGAACCCTACCTCTAAGCCTAACCCTACCCCTAGCCCAAATAACCCTAACACTAACCCTAACCCAAATAACCCTAACCCTAACGGAAATAAACCCAACCCTAACCATAACGCAACTACTCATAACCCTAACAGAAATAGACCTAACACTAACCGAAATAACCATAAAGCCAAGCCTAACCGAACTAACGCCAACCCTAACCCTAACCATAACCCTAACCCTAACCATAACCCTAACCCAAATAACCCTAACCCTAGCCCAAATAACCCTAACACTAACCCTAACCCAAATAAGCCTAACCCTAATGCAAATAAACCCAACCCTAACCATAACGCAACTAACCATAACCTTAACAGGAATAGCCCTAACACTAACCCAAATAACAATAAAGCCAAGCCTAACCGAACTACCTCTAACCTTACCCTAACCCTAACCCTATTCCAAATAACCATAATCCTAACCCGAACCCCAACTCTAACCCTAGCCCAAATAACCCTAACCCTAACCCAAATTATCCTAACCCTAACGCAAATAAACCGAACACTAACCATAACGTAACTAACAATAACCCTAACAGGAATAGCCATAACACTAACCCAAATAACCATAACCCCATCCCTAACCGAAATAACCCTAACCCTAACCCTAACCCTAACCCATAACCCCACCCTTAATCGAACTAATCCTAACCCTAACCCTAACCCTAACCCTAAACATAACCCTAGCCGAAATAACCCTAACTCTAAACCTAACCCAAATAATCCTAACCCTAACGCAAATAAACCCAACCCTAACCATAACGCAACTAACAATAACCCTAACAGGAATAGCCCTAACACTAACCCAAATAACCATATCCCCACCCCTAACCGAACTAACCCTTATCCTAACCCTAACCCTAACCCCAACCCTAACCCTAGCCCAAATAACCCGAACCCTAACACTTACCCTAACCCTAGCCGAAATAACCCTAATCCTAACCCTAACCCAAATAACCCTAACTCTAACGCAAATAAACCGAACCATAGCCATAACGCAACAAACCATAACCCTAACAGCAATAGCACTAACATTAACCAAAATAACCATAACCACAAGGCTAACCAAACTAACTCTAACCCTAAACCTAACCCTAACACTAACCCTAACCCTAACACTAAACTAACCCTAACCCTAACCCTAACCCAACCATAACCGTAACGCAACTAACAATAACCCTAACAGGAATGGCCCTTACAATAACCCTAATAACCATAACCCCAACCCTAACCGAACTAACCCGAACAATAACCCTAACCCTACCCTAGCCCAAAGAACCCTAAACCTAACCCTAACCCAAATAACCCAAACACTAACCCTAACACTAACCCTAACCCTAACCATAACCCTAACCATAACCCTAACCCAAATAACCCTAACACTAACCCTAACCCTAAGCCTAGCCCAAACAACCCTAACCCTAACCCAAATAACCCTAATCATAACNACCCTAGACTTGGCACTTGAAATTGCATGGGATTCCATTAAATCCAAGGAGGAAGCTGTGTTGTGAGCGATGTTGTAGCACTTTTGGGCTGCGTTGATCATGACTTCTGCAGCTGCAGTGTGCCTGGATCTGTGGGCTTTGTGGTTGTCTGTGCCCTAATCCTAGGTACAACAGTAGGACCGTAACAGGAATAGCCCTAACACTAACCCAAATAACCATAACCCCACCCCTAACCGAAATAACCCTAACACTAACAAAAACCCTAATCCTAACCCTAACCCTAGCCCAAATAACCCAAACCCTAACCCTAACCAAAATAGCACTAACCCTAATGCAAATAAACCCAACCCTAACACAACTAATCATAACCATTACAGGAATAGCCTTGACAATAACGCAAATAACCATAACCCCACCCCTAACCGATATAACCCTAACCCTAGCCCAAATAACCCTAACCCTAACCCTAACCCTGACTCAAATAAACCGAACCCTAACCATAACGCAACTAATCATAAACCTAAAAGAAGTAGCCGTAGCACTAACCCAAATAAACATAACCCTAAACGAACTAAGTCTAACCCTAACATAAAACCTAACCCTAAACCTAACCATAATCCTAACCCTAAACCTAGCCCAAATAACCCTACCCCTAACATAAACACTAACCCTAAACCTAACCACAACCCTAACCGTACCTCAAATAACCCTACCCCTAACCCAAGTAACCCTATCCCAAATCCAAATAACCCTAACGCAAATAAACCAAATCTTAACCATAACGCAACTAACCACAACCCTAACAGGAATAGCACTAACACTAACCCAAATAAACATCACCCTAATACTAACCCTAGCCCAAATAACCCTAACCACAACCCAAATAACACTAACCCAAACGCAACCCTAACCATAACGCAACTAACCATAACACTAACAGGAATAGCACTAACACTAAACCAAATAACCATAACCCCAAGCCTAACCGAATTAACCCTAACCCTAGCCCAAATAACCCTAAACCGAACCCTAACACAAATAACCCTAACCCTAACACGAATAAAAACAACCCTAACCATAACGCAACTAAACATAGCCCCAACATGAATAGCCCTAACACTAAGCCAAATAACCATAACCCAAAGCCTAACCGAACTAACTCTTACCCTAACCCTAAACCTAACCCTAAACCTAACCCTAGCCCAAATAACCCAAACCCAAATAACCCTAACCCTAACGCAAATAAACCCAACTCTAACCATAATCCTAACAGGAATAGCGCTAACACTAACCCAATTAACCATAACCCTAGTCCTAACCGAACTGACTCTAACCCTAACACAAACGCTAATCCTAACCCTAACCCTAGCCCAAATAACCCTAAACCTAACCCTTTCCCTAAACCAAATAACCCTAACCCTAACCAAACTAACTCTAACCCTAACACAAAGCTTAACCCTAACCCTAACCCTAACCATAACGCAACTAACCTTAACCCTAACAGGAAGAGCCCTTACATTAACCCAAATAACCATAACGCTAACCCTAACCGAACTAAAACTAACCCTAACACAAACCCTAACCCTAACGCTAACCCTAGCCCAAATAAACCTAACCCGAACTCTAACCCAAATAACCCTAACCCTAGCGCAAATACACCCAACCCTAACCATAACGCAACTAATAGTAACCCTAACAGAAATAGCACAAACATTAACCCAAATAACCATAAACCTAACCCAAACCTTAGCCCAAATAACCCTAAATATAACCCAAATCCAAATACCCCTAAACCTAAAGCAAAAAAATCTAACCCTAACCATAACACAACTAACCATAACCCTATAAGTAATAGCCCTAACACTAACCCATATAACCCTAACCCTAGCCCAAATGACACTAACTCTAACCCAAATAACCCTAACCCTAAGGCAAATAAACCCAACCCTAAACATAATGCAACTAACCATAACCCTAAAAGGAATAGCCCTAACACTAACCCAAATAACCATAACACTAACCGTAAACGACCTAAATCTAACCCTAAAAAAACCCCTAAATCTAACCCTAGCCCAAATAACCCTAACCCTAACGCAAATAAACCAAACCCTAAGCATAACGCAACTAACCATAACCCTAACAGGAATACCCCTAACACTAACCCAAATAACAATAACCCCAAGCCTAACCGCATTAACTCTAACCTGACCCTAACCCTAACCCTAACTCTAAGCCTAACCCTAACCCTAACGCTAACCCAAACCCTAGCCCAAATAACCCTAACGCTAACCTTTACCCAAATAACCCTAACCCTAACGCAAATAAACCCAACCCTAACCATAATGCAACTATCAATAACCCTAACAGAAATAGCACTAACACTACCCCAAATAACCGTGACCACAACCCTAACCAAACAAACCCTAACCCTAACCCTAACCATAACCCTAACCCTAACCCAAATAACCCTATGCCTAAACCTAACCCTAGCCCAAATAAACCTAACCCTAACCCTAACCCTAACCCTAGCCCAAATAACCCTAACCCTAACCCAAATAACCCTAACCCTAAAGCAAATAATCCCAACCCTAACCATAAAGCAACTATCCATAACCCTAACAGAAACAGCACTAACACTAACCCAAATAACCAAAACCCCAACCATAACCGAACTAACCCTAAACCTAACCCTAGCCCAAATAACCCTAACCCTAACCCTAACCAAAATATCCCTAACTCTAACGCAAATAAACCCAACCCTAACCATAACACAACAAACCATAACCCTAAAAGGAATTGCATTAACACTAACCCAAATAACCATAACCCCACCCCTAACCCAACTAACGCTAACCCTAACCCTAACCCTGGCCCAAATAACCCTAACCCTAACCCAAATAACCCTAACCCTAATGCAAATAATCCCTACCCTAACCATAAAGCAACTATCCATAACCAAAACAGAAATAGCACTAACACTAACCCAAATAACCATAACCCCAACCATAACCGAACTAACTCTAACCCTAACCCTAACTCTCAGCCTAACCCGAGCCCTAACTCTCAGCCTGACCCGAACCCTAACTCAAAGCCTAACCCTACCCCTAGCCTAAATAACCCTAACCCTAACCCTAACCCAAATAACCCTAACCCTAACGGAAATAAACACAACCCTAACCATAGCGCAACTATTCATAACCCTAACAGAAATAGCACTAACACTAACCCAAATAACCATAACCTCAACCAAAACCGAACTAACGCCAATCCTAACCCTAACCATAACCCAAACCCTAACCCTAACCCTAACCCTAACCCTAACCCTAACCCTAACCCTAACCCTAACCCTAACCCTAANCTAACACTAACCCAAATAACCGTAACCCCACCCCTAAGCGAACTAACTCTAACCCTAACCCTAACCGTAACCCTAACCCTAAGCGTAACCCTAACCCAAAGAACGCTAAACCTACTGGAAATAAAACCAACCCTAAACATAACGCAACTAAAAATAACCCTAACAGGAATAGCACTAACACTCACACAAATAACCATAACCCCACCCCTAACCGAACTAACCCTAACCCTAACGGTAACCCTAACCCTAACCCAAATAACCCTAACCCTAAACGTAACCCTAGCCCAAAAAACCCTAACCCTAACGCAAATAAACCCAACCCTAACCAAAACGCAACTAAACATAACCCTAAGAGGAATAGCACTAACACTAACCCAAATAAACATAATACCAACCATAACCAAACTAAATCTAACCCTAACCCTAACACTAACCCTAAACCTAAATCTAACACTAACCCTAACCCTATCCCTAAATCTAAGCCTACCCCTAATCCTAACCCTAACCCTAACTCAAACCCTAACCCTAATCCTAACCCTAACCCTAACCCTAACCCTAACCCTAACCCTAACCCTAACCCTAACCCTAACCCTAACCCTAACCCTAACGCTATCCCTAACCCAAATAACCCTAACGCTAACCCTAACCCAAATAACCCTAAACCTAATGCATATAAACCCAGCCCTAACCATAACGCAACTAACCATAACCCTAACAGGAATAGCACTATCATTAACCCAAATAACCATAAGGCGAAGAGTAACCGAACTAACTCTAACCCTAACCCTAACCCTAACCATAGCCCTAGCCCAAATAACCCTAAACGTAACCCTAACCCAAATAACCATAACCCTAACGCAAATATACTCAACCCTAACCATAACGCAACTAACCGTAACCCTAACAGAAATAGCCCTAACACTAACCCAAATAACCATAAACCCAAGCTTAACCGAAATAACTCTAACCTTACCCTAACCCTAACCCTAACAAAAATAACCCTAACCCTAACCCTAACCCAAATAACCATAAACCTAACGCAACTAAACCCAACCCTAACCATAACGCAACTAACCATAAGCCTAACAGGAATACCACTAATATTAACACAAATAACCATAACCCCAAGCCTAACCAAACTAACTCTAACCCTAACGCGAACCCTAACCCTAACCCTAACCCTAACCCTAACCCTAACCTTAACCCTAACCCTAACCCTAACCCTAGACCTAGCCAAAATAACCCTAACCCTAAGCCTAACCCTAGCTCAACTAACCCTAACCCTAACCCTAACCCTAACCCACATAACCCTAACCCTAACGCAAATAAACCCGACCATAAACATAACGCAACTATCCATAACCCTAACAGAAATAGCACTAACACTAACCCAAATAACCATAAACCAATCCCTAACCGAACTAACCCTAGCCCTAACCCTAAACGTAACCCTAACCCTAGGCCAAATATCCCTAACCCTAACTCAAATAAACCCAACCCGTTTCATAACTCATCTATCCATAACCCTAACAGAAATAGCACTAACACTAACCCAAATAACCATGACCCCAACCATAAGCGAACTAACTGAAACCCTAACCCAAACCCTAACACTAACCCTAACACTAACCATAACCCTAACCCTTACCCTAACCCTAAACCTAACCCTAAACCTAACACTAACCCTAGCACAAAAAACCCTAACCCTAACCCTAACCCAAATATCCCTAACCGTAACTCAAATAAACCTAACCCTAAACATAACGCAACTAACAATAACCCTAACAGGAATAGCNAACCCTAACCCTAGCCCAAATAACACTAACACTAACCCTAACCGAAATAAGCCTAACCCTAATGCAAATAAACCTAATCATAACGCAACTAACCATAACCCTAACAGGAATAGCCCTAACACTAACCCAAATAACAATAAAGCCAAGCCTAATCGATCTAACTCTAACCTTACCATAACCCTAAGACTAAACCTAACCCTAACTCTAACCCGAACCCTAACCTTAACTCTAGCCCAAATAACCCTAACGCTAACCCTAACCCGAATAACCCTAGCCTAACGCAAATAAACCTAACCCTAACCATAACGCAACTAACCATAACCCTAACAGAAATAGCATTAACACTAACCCAAATAGCCATAACCCCAAGCCTAATCGAACTAAATCTAACCCTAACCCAAACCCTAACCCTAACCATAGCCCTAGCCCAAATAACCCTAACCCTGACCCTAACCCTAACCCTAACCCTAACCCTAACCCTAGCCCAAATAACCCTAAGCCTAACCCTAACCCAAATAACCCGAACCCTAAAGCAAATAAACCCAACCCTAAACATAACGCAACTAACAATAACTCTAACAGGAATAGTCCTAACACTAACCCAAATAACCATAACCCCACCCCTAACAAAACTAACGCTACCCTAACCCTAACCCTAACCCTAACCCTAACCCTAACCCTAACCCAAACGCAAGTAAACCCAACCCTAAACATAAAGCAACTATCCATAACCCTAACAGACATAGCACTAACACTGTCCTAAATAACGTAACCGCAACCCTAACTGAACTAACTCTAACCCTAACCCTAACCCTAACCCTAACCCTAACCCTAACCCTAACCCTAACCCTAACCCTAACCCTAACCCTAACTCTAACGCAAATAAACCTAATCCTAACCATAACTCAACTAACCATAACCGTAACAGGAATACCACTAACATTAACACAGATAACCATAACCCGAAGCCTAACTGAACTAACACTAACACCAACCCTAACCCTAGCCCTAGCACAAATAACCCTAACCCTAACCCTAACCCTAGCCCAAATAACCCTAACCCTAACCCAAATAACCATAACCCTAACGCAAATATACCCAACCCTAACCATAACGCAACTAACCGTAACCCTAACAGGAATAGCCCTTAACACAAACCCAAATAACCATAAACCCAATCCTAACCGAAGTAACTCTAACCTTGCCCTAACCCTAATCCTAACCCTAACCCAAATAACCCTAACACTTATCCTGACCCAAATAACCATAAACCCTAACGGAAATAAACCTAACCCTAACCATAACGCAACTAACCATAATCCTAACAGGAATAGCACTAACACTAACCCATATAACAATAATCCCAAACATAACC